CGGAAATATCGGTTCCTTCTTGGCATCGACCTTTACGATGGCATCGACTGTCATGAGAAATGGCATCAACCGTTTTCAATGGCAACGACCATTCCAAGAAATGGCATCGACCGTTTCAAATGGCAACGACCGTTTACGAAAGGGAAATTTGCGTCGGTGCATGAATCTGCAACACCAGCCCAAAATCAGCAACATTCATTTGCTTTGCTAATTCTCTTGCCTTCAGTCGGATCATGATCTTTGTGATACCAGTCCGGCAAGTGCGCTGACGTTTTGGTAGTTTTGCCATGACATTCTTTTTCTTTCGCCAGTAACAGATCATGGATTCATCAATTTCAAATTCTCTTGCTGCTGCTCTATTACCAATTTCATCGGCAGGAGCTATTACTCTAAGCTTATAATAAAACGTAAACTTTGACGTGGGCGTTTCACAGCAGGCATTTTAACTTAATTGGTGACTCATGGATACACTTATTGCAAATGACCGAGGTTTATAATTCTTATTCAGTCAGATACCTTTTTATAGCATGTAGGAGCGTAATGAGCTATATCTATTGTTCATTTGTCCTTAAAATACTTTTTCAGTGCGAAATTAGTTAAATTTCGCACCTATTATTTTCAACATTCTGGTGATGCGTGTGGGATTTAAAATTACTGTCGGCAATTTCTCAAAAAAATCGATATCTCCTGTTCTACTGGGCCTAACAAGTCCCTTAAAACGGGAAAATTCTCTTTAGCTCTCAAGCTAGTGAAAACTGGAAATTTGTTACTGATGCGCCGGATATCCTTGGATTATTTTTGTTGCCATCAAGGTTTTGTTTTCATGCATGCCGATAAAAATTTGTTTGTCACGCAACTAATTATGCATGAAATAAACTCGAGTTGGCATCATGTTTTCGTACCGCTTTGTGGCACTTTTGATACAATAAAATTCATTCGAGAGGTGGAAACGCAGGTAGGTGAGAAATTTTTTCAATTCAACTTCTACAAGAATTTAAAAATTTTCACATAACCCGCACCTCCCTATTACCTGTAGTGGGATGCGTTTAATGCAAAATCAACAGATTACCTGCAGGTAATCGACCAGAAATTAAGGTATTTGGCACCACCCGCCTGCAGGGGGGTTGAAAATCCTCTGAACGCTTCGTTGGAGGAGGAATTCTGTGATCACTTCCATGTTCCAGGAGCTCCTTCTTGCCTCGTACAAAATTTCTGCCATTATCTGATCCCATCTGCTCTGGCTCTCCTCTTCTGGCGATGAAACGATGCATGCTGTTGATGAAGGAGTCTATGTCCAGGCTGTAGACTACCTCAATGTGGATCACACGTGTGGTTAGGCAAGTAAACAGCACATGGTATCTCTTGACTTTACTCCTTCACTCTACAAACCAGAAATTGACCAAAACAGTCGACTCCGACGTAATTGAAGGGGGGTTTGTCTGGAGTGATTCTATCCTTAGGCAGGTTTGCCATCTTTTGCTCTCCGACTTGAGCTTGTCTCCTGCGGTCGAAACAGGTGTTGAGGAACTTCCTTACTGCAGCTCTTGCCTTAACGATCCAAAACTTCTCTCTGATCATGGATAGCACATGTTCTGTACTAGAGTGCCCAGATGTGTAATGGTAGTAGCTGATAATTAAACGGACAACTTGATGTGAAGTTGGCAGAATTATGGGATTTTTAGCATCTTATTGAAGGGGGGCATTTTCAAGCTGTCCTCCTACACGTAGCAGGCCATCCATCAACCATGGGTCGTGTTTGGAGACTCTGCTCGACTTCTTAACTTGACCTTTCCTTGTTCTGGTGACGTCTCTTTTTCCAACTCCAGAACCTGTGGCTTGTAGAATTGCAATCTCTTCTTTGAAGCTCTCTCTCGGTAAGTGTCTTAGAATCTCCCTTTCGGCCTTGTTCATTTCCTCAACGGAGAGAGGGTCTATCCTGGCTATCTTATCGGAGAGCGTGGATTCTGATTTCCACTGTTGAACTGCTCTTCGTAAGTTAGTTCGGTAACGAAGAATCCAAGCCACA